ACCCACTTAGTAACAATTACATTGATATCTTTGATTTTAGGAACTAATTCCCACACTTTATTTCTTTCAATTGCATTAAGCTCATCATGCATGACACTAACCCAGTATTCACTCATTTAATGCTTCTTTAAGCCTCTTGAGGCTCTATTTGTGAAATGAATGCCATATGATTACAAAATTGATTAAGAGAATGTCTAAGTAGATACTCCCTTATTAATTTGCCCGATGACATTGTCTAGAGAGAGATCTTTTGGGACAATCCACTCTTCAGGAAGCTCTTCCAGAACATCTTCTCCTGTCTCTTCAGGAATTGTTGGTGGATTAGCTTTTGCGGGGTTCTCATCTGATGGATCATCTTCTTCAACAAGTACACTTGATCTGTGTTTCCTGCATGTTTCAACTAATACGAATTATCGATTAATTCTTCTTCATCTAGAGTACCTTGTTGTTCTATACTCACCAGCTCAAGAAGACTCATTAAACACAACATGTACTGATTCTTCAACCGATTTCAATCTTAAATTATAAACTCTATATGCATGACCGTGAGTTGAATAACCAAGAAAAATTCCTTTATCAGATTTTTCATCAAACTTGCCAATATTTTCTTTCCCATTGTTTAAAACAAAACATGTACATCCAAAAACCCTGAAATAGTTTATGTTGGGTTTTCTTCCTTTGTACAATTCATATGGGGTTTTCTTAAGCATGGGTCTAATCAAGACTCTATTCAAAACATGACAAGCAGTGTTTACCTGCATCCGCCCAAAAGTATTTAGGTAAAGAATTTTCACACAACATTGTTCTAGCAAGTTCCACAATGGATTTGTTCTTCTTTCCACAACACCGTTTTGTTGAGGAGTTCTTGGAGCGAGAAAAATTGTGTTTTATGCCAAACTTTTCACAAAATGATTCAAATTTTTCATTTACAAATTCTCCACCATTGTCACTTTGAATAGATGTAAGTGAAATATCCTTTTTCATTATGTAATACCTTGCAAGCTTTTTGAAGGATTCTTGTAAGAATAAGATTTGGCCTTTAGAAAAACGATTCGATAGGAAATCTGAAAAGTCATCAACAATTACCATGATATAAAGATTACCACCTAGGCTCTTTATTCCTTGAAGGACCAACCAAATCCATGTGAAGCAGTTCCAAGAGGTTTTGGAAGTTGAAACAATGTTTTTGTTTGAAAGATTCTCTAGTTTGTTTGCTTTTCAAACAAGCTTCAGAGGATTTTGTCTTTCAAGATTTGAAGCTAGTAACCATAACCTAATTCTTTTGAAATCAGCTTGTCAAGATGATTAAGATGATATGAGCAAGTCTTCTATGCCACAACCAAGATTCTTCTTCTTTAGTAAGAAGACAACTTTGAGATGATATAGCTGTTTGATATCTAACATGTATATATTGTTTAACCTCTTACTACCAACATTACCATGTCGGATTCCCGGCTCTGAGATAAAAGGCACTTTTCGGTTTGAAAATGACTTTGTGACCAAGATCACATAACCGACTTATGCTATCAAGATTGTGCTCTGGACCTTCAACAAGAAGAACATTGTGAATGATTACTGATTCACCATCACCAAGATCTGGAGAACCTAGAAATCTTCCTCCGTTGCTGTCTCCATAAGTCACATGACCTCCATTCTTCAATTTCAGCTTCTGGAATTTTGAAAAATGTCACCCGTCATGTGCCTTGAGGTATCCGCCCTCTAGACACGCATTAAGGGACTCTGTTGCCTGTTCCTGAAGATCAAACATCAAGAAATTTGGTCACCCTTACGTAATTTTGGGTCCTTAGGAGTCAAATTTCCTGTCCTTAAAACATGTTTTGGAACCCATCTCTTCCTGACCCTGTGGCACAAAGATTTTCAGAGCAGAATAGCAAATTCATAAGATGTCCTTCCTCACGGAGGACTGACAAGACCTGAGAAAGGGGATGCTCGCGGTTGTTTCTGGACGAAAAGAAGTTCAATATCTTTTTTAGCTTTTACCCCTACTTAGGTTCGTACCCTTGAATTCTAGAACGTTCAAAAACACAATTTCTCAAGATTCGATAGAAGTGCATCTCAAATTCTCTTTAGTCCTTGAGTAAACTTAGACAAAGTTTTAATCAAGTAATCAACCTCATCTTGCAGTAATAATACACTTTTCACACTTCTCGTATGAGCAACTAAACATTATCCCGAGACGGCATAGACTTTATATCGAGATGTTCTAAAATCTGTTGTTTGCCTCTCCCAATAGTTCATTTTCCAGTAACTTTAACTCCTTATTTTCTAACCCAGTGCCATTTAATCCTTTTAACCGATTATTTGGATGAGATACAAATTTCTGGAGCTTCTACTATGCATTTCGTTGAAAGCATTTAGTAATGTGTTGAAATTCATTTTCATTCTCTCTTGAAGAGGAGTCCAACTTACATGTGACTGAAGAGGAATTCACAGCCGAGCCATTAAACACAGGTTCTACCTCTTCACTTTCATGTATTCCAGAGCCTGTACAGCCGAATCATTGCTCTTGCCAGGCTATATAGGCCTTTTTCCCTTTTGTATCTCGATTCTTTCTTGTTCCTGATCTCTGGTCTCTTTCTGTAGACAATCACTCCATGTGACCCCTGCGCCCACCACAAGAGCAACAAGTAATAGTATCTTGAACAGATTTCAGCCTTTTCATCATTGACCCTTCGACTGTAGCCAGTCCCTGCCCCCTTCCTCCAGAAGTTCTCCCTAAAATTCCTAACCGACAAAGTCAAGTTTCTCACCTTATTTCATCTCTTCAAGAATCACCGTTCTCTTCAATCGTCTGAGAACAACAATATCTTCACTTTCTCTTTCTGCATTCTCTTGTTTTTTTAACCATCTATTTCCAGCCCATGTTCCCTTAACTTACCAAAGCTAAGCGGAGTCATTCCAGCGAGTCTCCTCTATTTCTCTGACATAGCTGTCACCTTTGGTTGCCACGTTCTGTCCCCAAAAGATTAAGATTTTGATGTTCCACTCTTCTTTGTCAAAAGTCTTTCCCAACCCAATTGAGACTTATTGATGGCATGTGTTGCGAACCTTTTGGACATTGCAATTTAACTTCTCCCTCGCCGATTTAAACAACTCATAGTCCCTGACTAACTCATGCTTTCTTGCCCTTTTCACATTAGTTTCATGTGTAAGTCAAAATTTCCCATATTTCTGGAGCACATCTAGACAGATCTCGAAAAAGTCTCATCAAGATTTAAAAAAGAAGAGGTAATAATATTTTTTGTAGTATAATCATATTCGACTCTCCTATTCTCACATTTAGCGAATTTAACCGTAATCTTTTTTATGATTTACCATTGACAGGCATGAGTTGGTTTGTAAGGACCATTAAAATTGTTTCTACAAATGCCTCTATCAAGAGATTCAATAAAGATTTTTATTTGAACCTTCCAAAGGTAAGAATAATTCACACCAAAGTGGAGGCCCGTTGACTGGGAGGCTCCCTTTCTTGAAAAGTCATCTTTCCTCAGCCATTTGACCGATTCTCAGTAACTGTACAAGAACCAACTCGGTACCAATTGAAGAATTAATGGTTGAGTTCAAGAGGGGGGTGAATCTGAACTTTAAAGCTCTCCGCAAAACTTACTTTCTTTTTGGAGAATGAGTCACCCTCTTTATTCAATCTTCTGGAAAGGTAATCCTGCTGAAATACAGAGGGAAGTTGCAGTAAGGTAACAGTAAATACAAAAGCAGATGAAAGAAGAATATTAACACACAAATTTATACTGGCTTTAACTTGAATCGAGAAATGACATCCAGTTTTCGCCAAACACGAGTCGAAGTTCCACTAATACCAGAGAGAAAATTACAACCAGGACATATACTTACCTACCAATCTACCAACCATCTAAACCCATAATAGGTTTAACAAACCTACCCTAGGAACCAAATTGCTTACCTACCAAGTGCAGAAATTACAATCCAACCTGCACAATCAAACTTTTACAAGAATATGAAAGAAAAATCTAATCCCAAGTTTCTAATTGTCCAAGACCAATTTGAGGATTTCTCCAAACTACCACAGTCCAGCCATACCACCTTATGATATGAAGAATTGAAATGAGTAAAGTCACGTATGAAAGTTTCACAGATTTATTTCACAAGTTTTCTCAGTAGTGTATTGTTTTTTGTGTGTTTTAAAAGATAGATCAAATCTATATATAAATCAAACAACGTGTTGCTTCATTAAAAAAACCTTCAGAGTCAAAAGATAAGTTTGGTTAGCTGATGACCATGTGGTATAATTAGGGTCAGTTAACTTGTCAATGGATAAGTCCACATTAACATAGTTAGTGTAGATTGAAGGATCAGGCGCAGTACTGATAGAATTGGAAGTACTAAAAGGAGCAGAAGAAGTCATAAAGGGCGGAGGCAGTGGAGGCGATAGTGACAACAGCGTGAACCAGTACCCCAGGTAAGTTTTCAGTATTCTTTAATCGCCTGACCGTCCTCGGAGGGGTTAGTCGCCTGCCCCGAGTGCCTTTATCCTTGGAATTTCCTTTTCTTTTGGTGTCTTCTTCTGCTACTGTCATGATTTAGAAGAAGTTGTTAGTAGTCCAGGTTAGGCTTTCGGTTTCATACCAATTTACCTATTATGATAGCAGAGTTGTGTTAAAACCAATAAGAGTTGTATGTGTAGTGACCTAGTCTTTGCTTACAACCCAGTCAACATCCTCGGTTTAGCAGTCAAGTGACTAGTTTAGTCATAGGTATTCGTTATTTGAGTCAGTTTAGTTACAATCTCATTCCACGGTGCATCCCGAGCACCATTCGTCAGGTCCACCTCCGGACCTTAAGGTATTAAGGAAGAATCGCCTCTATGTAAAGAAAGATAAATGCATAAGTTCAATATTGGTGTCAGCTTGACTTCCTCTTACTCGACTACCAAGAAGAGGTATATAGTTGCTCGACCGAAGCGAGTACAAAGTCGACTGATAGGGAATAGAGACAGGTATGAAATGGCTCGACTGGTCTCACTGTCAGGGTTGGAGTTAGAAAGGTCAAGAATTGTTCTCTTGTCGCAGTTCTCTTATTCGCAGCTTTCATCTGCTGCAACAAAGTCTGTATTACTAGGATTTGACCTTCGACTGGGAATTTATCTTTCCTACGCCCATGCGAAAGGAAAGGGCTCTCCAAAGAGAGGAAGAAGAATGAATTCCTCTACGGTGCCATTAGATAAAATTCCTCAATATGAAAGATACATTCTAACTATTAAACCTGAATTACTACAATCACTAAAAGGTGGACTAACTAGCGAAAGAAAAATAGAACTAGAAATTTTCTTAAAAGAAAAAGGTGGAACTTACTACTTATGATTAAAAAAATGAAAAATATCCCAATTTTTGTCCTCTTTCTATGGAAAAGAAGAGCTACCATTCTATCACTATCGAATGACCTCTCCCATCTATTTTGTAAAATCGGTTTTGGGGGTATGACCTTTGCAATTGGTTTAGTGGGGGCTCTCCTAACAAGAGATTGGTCTTTTGTTTTTTGTGAGGGTTCACCTGGGACTGATGATGACTCTGATGTTGACTCTGATGCAAGCGTCAAGCAAGAGCTGTCGAGCTCTTCTCGCCCGGGACCCACCGCTCCGGCCCCTACTACTTCTGCTGCTCATCTCCTAAAGCCAGCAACTCCTCAAGCCCCTGAGCCCTCGGCCCTAGAACAAAGGATGAACTCCTCCTGGAGAATGTGGAGCAACGCAAGGGGGCTCTTGGAGAGGGTCAAAAGGTCTCCGACGTTCGACACGCAGTTGAACGGGAATTTTGTGTCCACACTCCAGGAGACCAATTCAATCTCATAAAAAAGCTAGAAGCGGAAATGGGGGGTCCTAAAGAGACTAGTACCACGTTGAATTCAGCATTCAACGAACTAAAAGATTTCCAAAGTCACGTCCAAGATGGACGGGGCGGAAGGAATCTTGGTACTACCTCTGACCCAAAGAAAGAGGAAGACCCCTTCTCAATAAACTCAACTCAATAAATAAGGAGTACTCCATGGGGATTGTTAGGTAAACATTAAATGCATGTAGTTGAGAGGTAGTGGTTATAGAGGTAGTAGTTGAGAGTTAGTTATTGTATTGAACGTATGTAGTTGAAAGGTAGTAGTTGTATTAAATGAATGTAGTTGAGAGGCCATATCCAAAGGGCCTATAAATTGACCATGCATCACTCATTGCAAACACATCAAGTGATAATATACAGAGTGCTTTATTTAGATACTTGTTTGTCTACAAATTGGTATCAGAGCTTGAGAGCCTGAGTGTCTGAGTGCGTTAGAGAGTGTTTGAGAGTTAGAGAGTTTGTTTGAGATGGCCAACTTAGCTAACAGCATGCCCCTACCAAAGTTATCAAAAGGCGTAAGCTATGATAACTGGAGCCTGCAAATGAAGGCTCTCCTTGGTTCCCAAGAAGTATGGGATGTGGTCGAAAATAGGCACCAAGAACCAGAGAATATTGAAGAGCAGACGATTGCTCATCTTGCTGCATTGAGAGCAACACGAGTAAAGGACAAAATGGCTTTGTACGTACTGTACTGAGCTGTTGATGAGTCCGGCTTTGAGAAGATAGCAAATGCTAAATCTTCAAAAGAAGCGTGGGATATTCTGGAGAAGGCATATAAAGGGGATAATCGCGTGAAGCAAGTCAGGCTTCAAACTCTTAGAGGCAAGCTTGAAAGCATGAGGATGAAAGAGGTCGAAGGGGTTGCCGAGTACATCTCCCGTGTTGAGACCGTGGTGAATCAACTCGGAAGAAATGGAGAGACGCTGCCCACTTGCCGAGTGGTGGAGAAAATCTTAAGGTCGTTAACTGACGATTTTGAGAATATTGTTTGTGCAATAGAAGAGTCCAAGGACTTGTCGGTGCTCTCGGTGGAAGAGCTTGCCGGGTCTCTTGAAGCGCATGAGCAGCGGAGAAGGAAGAAGAAAGAGGAGTCCCTTGATCAAGCACTCCAAGCAAAGGCAACCTTAAAGGAGAAGAAGGTTCCTTATGCTCAGAACACTCAAGGTCGAGGTGGTAGAGGCAGAGGAGAATATGGAAGAGGCAAGGAGCCAGTCAGTCAACAAAACTGGCGTGGCCGAAGACAAGGTAGAGGTCGTGACGGTAGAGGCCGAGGTGGTCAGTCAAGCAATTCCGGAGTTGAGTGCTTCAAATGTGAGAAGTACGGTCATTTTGCTAAGGACTGCTTTTCAGGTATCAAATGTTATAATTGTGGGAAGGTTGGGCATTTCGCGAAGAACTGCCGATCTGAGAGGAAGAAGGAGACAAACCTCCTCTCTGAGGACACTGAGGAAGAAGGAGTATTGATGATGTCAAGAAGTTCGGATGTCGAGCTAAGTCCGAGCTGTTCTGACAACTCGGTTTGGTATCTTGATACAGGAGCAAGTAACCACATGTGCGGGGACGAGAACCATTTTAAGGAGCTCACTAAAGTTGAGGTCGGACACGTGTCATTTGAAGATGCATCAAAGGTGGCAGTAAAAGGTAGAGGTACAATCTGGTACCTGCAGAAGAATAGCCGAGTTGGAGAAATCAGAGATGTGTACTATGTACCCGATCTCAAAAGCAACATATTGAGTATGGGTCAGCTGATGGAGAAAGGCTACTCGGTTCTGATGAAAGACCGAGTACTATACCTGAAGGACAAGTCGGATCGTTTGATTGCCCGAGTAGAAATGAAGAAGAACAGAATGTACAAGTTGGACTTGAAGATAGTCCAAGAGAGGTGTTTGAAACTTGACGTGAAGGATGAAGCAATGATGTGGCACTTTCGATTTGGCCACTTGCATTTGGGCGGACTGACCGAGTTGGTAAAGAAAGAGATGGTGCTGTAGACCCCAAATCTTGCCCGGCCTCCAAATAAAGTCAGAAAGCTTCCTATTTGAAGACGGCCGAAGCCTAACAAGCCACTAGGAGAGACTATTAGGCTCCCGTACCAAGATAGGAAGGTTTTTTGGCCCAAAATAAAGTTTCTCGCGTTGAAGGGGACTCCCGGGTCAAGTCTCGCTCAAGCTACGGACGTACTCGCTTGAGCGACAGGTGCTTCAAACAAAGGGGACTTCCGGGTCGAGTCTCGCTCAAGCGACTGATGTACTCGCTTGAGCGACGGATGCCTCAAACAAAGGGGACTTCCGGGTCAAGTCTCGCTCAAGCGACTGATGTACTCGCTTGAGCGACGGATGCTTCGAACAAAGGGGACTCCCGGGTCAAGTCTCGCTCAAGCGACTGGTGTACTCGCTTGAGCGACGGATGCTCCAACGAGACGGCGTTCTCGTTCACCCAGACGGCGGTCTCGTTGCCTACAAAAACGAGACGGCGGTCTCGTTGGACGAGACGGCGGTCTCGACCCTGTCAGACGAGAACGGCGGTCTGGACCCTGACAGCGCGAAAAACTATAAATAGGGGGTCTCCCCCCCTCATTTCCACACAGAAAAACAAGAGTTCTCCCTTCTCTCTAGATTTTCTCTCTCTAAGAATCCCTCCGAGGCATTTTCGGAGTTTCTGAGCGTCTCTAGGCATAGATCGAGCGTTCTAAATCTTCTTAAGAATCCCTCTGAGGCATTTCCGGAGTTTCTGAGAGTTGTAGAGTGAAGGGCTGCCAAAACGCACCCTCTTTCTTTAAAGAATATAAGAAAGCTTGCTTCGAAGGTTCATAAACCTCTTTCTTTACTTTACCGCTTTCATTTAAATTATGCAATAGACGTTAGGGCCATGTAGTCATAAATTTAAATACCGCATAATAAAAGGGTAAAAGCGCAATTTTCCAAGTTTAATTATTCGCAAATAGCCGGCCTATCATAGGGAACCCGAAAGGGGCGTCGTAAAGGGACTAATACTCCCTTTACACGTAACTAACTCCCTTACCCAACTCTGGTTCTAATGACCAAAGTTGGTTTTCGAAAACCAACGTCTTTTACCCCTTTTCCGATGTTTATGGTAAAAATATCGGTGGCGACTCCATAGAACCCAAAATAAATAAGTCCTTGGGTTAGCCCGGTTGTCGGACAACTCAAGGACACTTTTCGAAAACCTCGTCTCTAGGTTAGCCCGGTTATCGGACAACCCAAGGACGTTGTAACCACCAATAAAAAAAACGCGAAAACAAGAGGGTCGATAAAACCATCGCGTCGCTCCGACCGCCTCTTTTTGACGGCAGCGACAGATGGCGACTCCACTGGGGAAGCCTAGAGAGTTGATCCCATTTAGTGATGGGCCGGCTTAAAAATAATTAAACCAAGAGAATAGCGCTTTTACCCTACCTTGTATTATAACATGTTTTATTGTTTGGCTTTCAATAAACTGTTGTTTGTTTCTACTTACGCAATTGTTTGAAATACAAATTGCACACAAACCCTTGCACACTACAGTTCCTCCTATACCCGGGGGCAAGTGAGATAACCATAGGGAGTGGGTGGCAGGTACGGTTCGCTGCAGTTAGGGCCTTGTGCCCACCAGTGTGATCGGAAACCACCACTCAAGGTGATAACCTTCCTCTTTTGGCAACAAGACCGACTCTGGCCTTAGTGCTGAGCATGGTTGGACGGCTGGAGAGTGGGGACCCTATAATGGGGGCACCTTGGGGGCCTTAGCCTGGTGAGAACAGCTAGAACCTACCTTAACCAATGCACTTTTCTGCAGGAGAACCCTACCTCGTGATAAAAACGAAATCTCGCCTGTTCGGGGATGATCGAATTGTGTGTGCATATGTTTGTTGCATTTGTATGTTGCATAGCATAAACAAACAACAGAACAAAATCACGGAAAATATTTTACAAATAAACACCCTTATCTCGGACAGTCTGCCTTTTAGCTAGCCTGGTTTCAGGTTCTTTGTAAGCTAAGTAGCCACGCAGTTCCGACAGAAGAGATAAGGGACGCTAAATATTCTTTCACATAAAACCACATTTTATCTCGGACAGTCTGCCTTTTAGCTAGCCTGGTTTCAGGTTCTTTGTAAGCTAAGTAGCCACGCAGTTCCGACAGAAGAGATAAAAGGCTAATAAAAAAATAAAAATCCAAAATAAACAAAATAAGATAATAACAATAAAACATTTATAAAAATAATTTTGACAAAGTCATATCATTCATCATGTCATAAGTGGAAAAACCAAGAGAGAAAATAAATGCATAAAGAAAGTATGCATACGCATCATTTTAATAAATCCCTAAAAAGTGGGCCTTAGAGGCGTTTTTTGGGAAAATCACTGGGCCAAATCCCCTACGGGTATTTGCAGCTTGGTTCTTCACCCTTTTCTCATCGTTTTGACATACTGTGCGTCCAAATCGGACAACCCAGTCAAAAGTCATGTCACTTTGAACATCTGCTGCCCTTTTGTACTGGTACATGCATAAATACATTCATTTTAGGGAGCACTAGATATCCCTAAGACAATGGCAAAAGAGGCCCCGAGCACACTTGTGACCTTCGCGACAAGGAAGCGACAAGTGTACTAAGGAGTGATGGTGATTGCCATTATACTTGTCAAATCTGTGATGGGAAAGGAACCATTACACCGAGGTGGGTAGGATACCCCACAAAGCGTAAGCTTTAAGGAGGATACCTAAGCCATTGTCTTAAGGAATATTCATCTCATATATCATTCAATAAAAATCTTTTTGCATTCTATAAAGCGGCTGGTATTCTTCATGCCCTCATCCGCATACAAAAAAAAACACAAAATCCCAAACACTATCATACGTCATGTTAGAAAATAAAACATGATAATGTTTAGGAAAAAACAAACACTTGCATACATGCATCCACCAAACTTCATCCTCATAACATAATAGACAGTCGAAGAAA